CACCCTCAGCTTCTGTGTTGCAGCTTGCTGCTGGCAGAGGGGACTGGAGGTCACAGGGTGGGCAGGCAGCGGGGGGGGGGGGCGGCATCCGGGAAGCACCTTGGGCACCTGGGCACACAGAGACCAGCACTGCCATTGACCCTGTGAGGGCCGGTGCCCCCATTCCTGTCCCCTTCAGCAGGGGCTTGGAGCTCCAGAGGGAGTTCCTGGAAACACTGAAAAACGTGCTGGAGAGAGACCTGGGAATGTGTGGAGGGCACTCATCCTGTGCCAGGCTCTGAGTCTGGATTTCCCTCCTCAGTCCAGACGGTGCCGAGACTGGGGCAGAATGGGGAGGCGTGGCTGTGACTGCCATGGCCACAGTGCTCTCTCCGGGACCATGGTCACTGCAGAGCTGAGCAGCCCATGGAAGACAGGGCTGGGAATGGCAGGCTGTCGGGTTCTAGGATGCGATTGTGTGCATGGGAATCAAAGAAACCCAGTCAATCCTCTCAAACGGAGGGCCCCTCATCTCTGCCAGCAGAGCCCCGCGTCCCTCCCAGGAGGCCCCGCGTCCCTCCCAGGAGGCCCCGCGTCCCTCCCAGGAGGCCCCGCGTCCCTCCCAGGAGGCCCCGCATGCCCGGCCCTTCCTGAGCCCCAGGCCCCATTCCTCTTTCTCTGTTGTGCAGAATGGGCGACTCCCTGTGACCTTGGGAAGCCCTCTGCTTCCCTGGTCCCAGTTTCACAACCTGAAACTGCAGCTCTGGTCCCTTCTACCCTTCCCCAGGGACCACACCACCCACTGCAGCCAGCACCCCCGCAGGGCTGGGCAGGCTCTGGGGCCTGGCCTGCCCACAGCACAGCAGCACGCCAAGTCTCTGCATCCAGGCTTGCGCCTCCCGCCTGCCTGGGGCTGCCTTGGAGCCTTTACTGACCTTTGTCCACTAGGTACTTGTCCTCTCCGAGGGACTGTGTTGATGGACGCAGCCCCGGGACATATGTTGGCACTGTGTTATAGGGACATGTGTATAGAGTTTTACATGTGTCACATGGAGTGCCACTCCTCACCTACCCTCCTTGTCCTCCTTGAAATCAAGGGGCACTCTAGCTTTCTTGCCAGTGGTTTTTCTACGTGCTGGCTGTTGGCTTCCCATGGCCCTCCCTTGGCCTGTCACTGCCCTTCTAGGTCCAGGGGATTCTGGCAGACGACCTACACATGAGCTGGGTTTCGGATCTCCCAGTGGTCTGTCCTGTGACTGCAGTCCTGGACCACTGACATCAGGGTGGGTGGGGATTGTTGCAGTTGGCTCGATGGCCGCTGAGGGTGCTTCTTGCCTTTCACCGACTGCCCTGTGGGACGCCCTTTGCCATCCCCCACAGGTCTGCTCTGTCCTAAAGCCAAGTCAGGTCGCCTACAGGAGCAGCAGGGTCCAAGGTGAGTGGGCATGGAATCAAGTGCCACTTGTGCCTGGGATCGAGCCTGCCTCTGACCCCTGGCCGCCCTGCACACCCTTCGTGGTCCCTGCACTGGTGAAAGCTGCCCTGACTTCCCACGCGAATTTCGTGTCTCTGGAGTCATGGCCCCGAGTGCACAAATGCCTTTCCCTGGGACAGGAGGAAGTCACTTTTCAGAAAAAAGGGATCCTGGTGTTTACAGGGCAAGGGTGGCACAGCCGTAGGGCAGGGCCGCTGTGGGCAGAGAGGAGGGCCATGCCCAGAGGGAGGGGGCCCTGAAAGGGGAATCGAAGCTCCCTGAAACCACAGGCCCGCTGTACCCTTGGCCAGAGCCCCTCTGCCCGCTGCGAACTGCAGGAATGAGGAGGAAGCTCCTGCAGGTGTGGGATGCCTGGGCGGGGATGCCAGAGCCTCCTGCAGTCACACCCAAGGGCTCGGCATGAACTGGCTGACAGCAGGAGGCCTGGGGCATGTGCTGGCACAGGAGCCCATGGGAGCCACGGCACTGCCCCCTTAGGCACAGGGGTGGGGCAGAGTAGAGTGAGCCCAGGCCTGGGGCTGACTCATGAAGGGACAGAGGGAAGAAAAGCCTCTGGACAATTCCCACACTTCACATCACATTCTCAGGTTTGACCAAACATGGGAAAGAAGAAGTGAAACTTGTTAACTCTTTGGGGATCCATGCAGTTCACTTCAGGGGGCAGTTCTGCTATAAATTATCCCTGTTATGCAAATCTCCCTACCCCCAGTCAAGGGTTCCCAGTGTGCCTGGGGACTGAGGAGAGCTGTCTGCTTCCCCTGGCCCGGATTCCCCAACTGGCTGCGGCTCACCGTCAGGTTCCCCGCTGGTTGCATCCTGCTGGGAAGGAGGTACAGGCTCTGGGGCAGGGCCACTGGGGCCAAGTGTCCAGGCTCCCGAGATGTGGAGTATATGAGGCCCTGAGGGACAGAGCTCACAGTGTGTGCACCCTCAGTAGGCACAGGGAAACGCGCAGGTGCCCTAACTAAAGCACTGACTGCAGCTGCGGAGATCTGGGGCCCCACAAGCAACCCAGCTTCACCTGCCGAGGCCTCTCGTGGGCACCTGCCACTTTGACGGGCACTGCCAGCATCTTAGCTACCTGCCTTTCATTTGCTTTCCTTATGGGACCTGTTCTGGGGTCTCTTATAGAAAGAATATCCAGAGAGCGCAGTGTTCCATGTCCTTGTCCACTCCCATCACCTTCATTCTAACATCTCTACCCTGTCACCTGCATCCCACATCTCCACCAGTCACCTGCATCTCACATCTCCACTCGTCACCTGCATCCCACATCTCCACCAGTCACCTGCATCCCACATCTCCACTCATCACCTGCATCCCACATCTCCACTCATCACCTGCATCTCACATCTCCACTCATCACCTGCATCTCACATCTCCACTCGTCACCTGCATCCCACATCTCCACCAGTCACCTGCATCTCACATCTCCACCAGTCACCTGCATCTCACATCTCCACTCATCACCTGCATCCCACATCTCCACCAGTCACCTGCATCCCACATCTCCACTCATCACCTGCATCCCACATCTCCACCAGTCACCTGCATCCCACATCTCCACCAGTCACCTGCATCTCACATCTCCACCAGTCACCTGCATCCCACATCTCCACCAGTCACCTGCATCCCACATCTCCACCAGTCACCTGCATCCCACATCTCCACCAGTCACCTGCATCCCACATCTCCACCAGTCACCTGCATCCCACATCTCCACCAGTCACCTGCATCCCACATCTCCACCAGTCACCTGCATCTCACATCTCCACCAGTCACCTGCATCTCACATCTCCACCAGTCACCTGCATCTCACATCTCCACCAGTCACCTGCATCCACTCTCCACCATCACCTGCTCCCATCTCACTCACCTGCATCTCACATCTCCACCAGTCACCTGCATCCCACATCTCCACCAGTCACCTGCATCCCACATCTCCACCAGTCACCTGCATCCCACTCCACACCTGCATCCACTCTCATCTCACATCTCCACCAGTCACCTGCATCTCACATCTCCACCAGTCACCTGCATCTCACATCTCCACCAGTCACCTGCATCCCACATCTCCACCAGTCACCTGCATCTCACATCTCCACTCCTCACCTGCATCCCACATCTCCACCAGTCACCTGCATCTCACATCTCCACCAGTCACCTGCATCCCACATCTCCACCAGTCACCTGCATCTCACATCTCCACTCCTCCAGCTCCACAAGAGTTGCCATTTCTCTTGCTAATCCCCTCCCACATGCCCTTCCTCCTCATCCCTGGAGGTGTGCTTCCTGCCCTGCCCTGTAGGTAGCCAACTCACGTGCTCCTTATAGCACAAGCACCACTCCCTGTGTAAAGGCCAGGAGACAAAGCTGTCCCACGTTTGCTCCGACTGAGCCAGACCAGGGCCCTCTTCTCACCTCCCCTGCCTATAGGATCTGCACTGGAGCACAACACTCAGCTACCCTTGTTAGCTGGTCACTCTCGCCAGCACTGGTCGATGTCCACGGGTCCAGGTAAGCTTTCCACTGTCGATGTCCTGCACCTGTGGCCAACCCCCTGCCCCTTCACCACTCTTGGGGGCTCTACTTCCCTCTCCCACCTGCTGTTTTGTCCAACGTTGCTTCTCTCTTTCTCTCCTTGGTCTGCGCTTCCGGAACTGTCTCCCGTTTTTCCTCCTTCACTTAGGAATATCTTTCCTAGCAGAGCTGGGGGCTGCTGTTGCATTTTGGTTATTGATGCAGTTGATTCCGCATGCTGACATCCCAGTTATTCTGAAGTGCTCTGATCAAATCAGATGTTGTCAGGAGCGTTTTCTACCTCAGTGGGTGACACTGCCACCCCAGGCACTCACCATGCCTGGCTTCCTGGTTCTGTGGGTGCTGGGTCACCTCTCAGGTCCATCTCACTGGAGGTCAGGCTCTGAGACGGACCCCAGTCCTAGCACCTCTCAGCTGTGTGACCAGGCAGGCCACTCTGTGGAACAGGAGGCAACAAGTACACCTGCTTAGATGCTCAGGGCTCCAAGGTCACTAATTCACCCAAAGCCCTCATGCCGTGAGGCCAATGCATTCCGTGAGGTCACAGGTGTCTCCCTTATCTGGAAGAAAATAATTCTCAACTCTGCCGACTTCCCACCTGTCCCAGTTCACATCACGTAACCAGTCAGTGAATCACCAGGAAACTAGATGATGCACAGGGTACAGAACCAGGCTAAAATGACATCACTGGCCATGGAGGGGGCTGAGGGACTGTCACCTGGCAGCAGGGCTGCTCTGCCGGGGCTAGTCGCTGCTCGCAGGGACCTTTGGCTTCTGGCCATGCTGCCGATTTGCTCTTCAGGGAGGACGTCAGGGTGTGAGTGCACTGCGACGAGGAACACCAGGAGTTCCCCGGTTCCCCGAGGAGCTGCACCGGCTGGGTTGGGGCGCAGGCTTTGGTGGGCGACTTCTCTCCCACTCGGTTCCTGTGATCAGGTTTCATGCCCGCCTTACATGTAGAAGGAGGGCTAGGAGACAGATGTGCCTCTAGAATGGAGTCCCCTGGAGGATAGGGACAGCTGTAGCTTGGCCTTGGCGGAGCGTGGGGCCAAGCTGAAGGGGCTCAAGTCTACTGCTGGTGGAGCTGTGGTGGGGGGCGGTCAGCCAGACTCAGTGATATGGCTCTCCACGCCGCCCCAGTGTTCAGAGGGACAGAATTGAGCAGAGTCCATTGCTGGCCCCTGGGAAAGCTGAGAGCTGGCACTGACCTCACTTCCTCCTGCTCTGATGGAGCCTGCAGCCTGTGTGTGTGTGTGCATGGGGGAGGGACAGCATGAGGACAGGGGACTGCTCCATAGATGGCAGGTGAGCTGTATGCAGACCCCTGCTCTGGAATGCTCAGGGGAACCTCCTAGGTCTGATCCTGATGCGAATGGAGCTGGATCTGAGAACACGAGGGGGCTGAAGCTAGAGGCCCCAGGCATCTTGGCAAGAGGTGGATGGCTGGGGCGAGGCCCAGCAGACACTCCTGGGGCCCCGCCCCACAGAACACACCTGCCGGCCCTGCTCCAGCTCTAGTACAGGGAGGGCAGTAACTGGATGAACAGCACCTGTGGACTCAGCCACTGCTCCAGCCCTCCTTCCGGGGAATCCTCTAGAGTATGGGATCTGGGGGGCCATTCAGGCACAGGACTTTGGGGAGCAGCTGGGGTGTGTGCAATAACTGAGGTTCCACCAAGGAGTCACAAGGCCTCCAACATGCTTTACTTGGAAAGGGTGATGAAATCAGCAGAAATGGGATTCAGGCTCTCTGGTCTCTCCTGCCAGGAACGCAGCTCAGCTTGCCCTGGCAGGGTAGTGGGAAGACTGGGAGGGGCCATCTGTACCAGGTGTCTGTGGTCTCTCCAGGGGGGGACAGCTGCTCACAGCTTTCAGCATCAGAGCCACATGAGGGCCAATTCTGACAACAGAGAGGGAGCGATGCCTCGACCGGCACAGCCTGGAGCATGCCCCTCTCGTGTTGGTGTCCCCGGTGGTCCCTGAACCTGTGTCTGCTTGCCTGCCACCTCCAGCGTGGCCTCCTGAGGATCCGAGCTGCTGGCTTGTGTCACAGACACAGCCGTACAAGCCCCTCCCTCCCCAAGGATCCCTTTTCCCCTGTGTGTGCTCTGGTGTGCCTGCACAGGAGGCAGAGGTGGGAGAGAGGCCGTGCTTGCGAGCACAGACACAGGAGACTGAGCCTTCAGAAGGCCGCACGTGCTCATGCAGAACGTGTTTATTTTGGTACAAACACTTGGAAGCCGCGGGCGGCCTTCTCTCTTCCATGAACTCCAAAGCATCCAATGTGTGCAGAACAGCATGCTCCACTGGGAGGCCAGAGCCCACAGGCCTGGAGCTTCCAGACGAGCCACCCTGGCAAGCACAGGTGGGAAGGTGCCGGGCACAGCTGCCAAGGTTGGGACACCTGCACTCGGTGGATCTCACTGAGGCACCACCTCGAATGGATTCCCTGTCTGCCATGCACACCCAGTCACCCCACCTTCATCACTGGGTCTGAACCCTGCTGCTGCCTGGCTGTTTGTCCATGCAGCTTGGAGGGGGTCACACACAGCCAGAGTGACCCAGGCAGCTCTCATACCGAGCCACCCCCACCTCACCGTGTGCTGCGGGCCAGGCCACCCATGATATCGCTGGGTGATGCAGGGAGCTGCCTCTGCCCACACACAGTCCAGCACAGCTCTGGACAATGGACGAGAGCCTTGCCTGCCAGGATGCAGTTGCATCTGGGGTCCAGAACACAGGACTGCTCTGATCCGAGGGTGGACTTCACAGGGCTGGTGGACAGAGTCTGGCTGCATTTGTTTGCTCCACCCCACAGAAGCATGCTGGGATGTGAGCCCCTGGGGCGGTGCCTCCCCTTTCATGGGCTCCTCGGCATCGTACAGAGGTGGACCTGAGGATGCCACATCTCGTTTTCTCACTGACGAGGGGTGGGCACGTAAAGACCTGCAGCCACGGCAGACAGAGAGCAGAGCTCAGCAATCGGCATGCACATTGTCAAAGAGCGTCCTGGGGACAGCACTGCGTATCGGCACCCGGTGACACCTGTGCCCCGTGGGTGCCGCTGCATCAAAGCTGCCCGTGAAAGTTTGCTCTGATGGCTGTGCGTGTAAAACAATAATTCTGGTTCATTCGAAAGAATGGGAGAGCACCAGTTTCAGACAGAGCCAAAGCTTCATTATTGCAGGGACCGAGGGCGTGGAGGCCTGGCAATGCATCTGCTTGGTCTGTGTAGGTCCAGCTCATTGCACTGTCATGCTGGCAATGACATGACGGGGCGCCGTGAAAGTCACACACATGAAAACAAGGCACACGGGGAACTCCTGCATGAGCCAAGCCTGTCTCCATCACGGGGCGTGCTCTATTTCTCAAGACTCTCACGTGGCTGGTGTTCAAGTGGAAATGGCACAGCCCTGGGTCGTGAGGGAGGGACAGGGCAGCGGCATTTGGGACTTCATTGGGACAGCCCCACATGCAGAGCTTCATATCACAGAAGGAACTGAGGCAGGGGACAGGAGTCAGCCATGCCACGGGCAGAGTGACAGGGAGTGGCATGCCCCTGGCTGTCCTCTTCTGTCTCCGCCACAGGTTTGCAGTGCGGGGACAGCACCTGGAACTTCTGGAGACACGCTTGCACACACGCACTCTCACTGCAGCACACAGCAGAACAAAGCACAGGACGAGACGTGTGAGGGCATGCAAATCCTACTTTTACCAGGCAGAGGCAGACATCAGTGACTGCGTACAGAGTGACCACCTTTCAAACATAATTTAATGTCTTGTTCACATGATAGGAAACCTTACTTTAAATACAATAGTCTCAAAGAAAGATGTTGTTACAATAGAAAACCACAACAAAAGGTGTGCAAATAGATGTTTATACCGGCTATAAAAGGCAGCGAGAGGAACGGGCAAAGCGCCATAGAAAAGAGCTCCTGGAGCCTCTATTTACAGTTTTGGGGTTAACTGTGTGGCCGCAGCGGCAGCAGGAACTCCCTCAGCAGAGGGGACAGGTGGGCCGCCGACAGGCAAGTGGCAGTCGCAAGGCCCTCGCCGTGGACGTGTGTCTCTGGGGAAGGCCTGGCTTTGTAATTGCATAACGAGTGACAGCTGTTCTCAGCCCAGGTTCTTTCTCTTCCTCTGCACACCGGTGTGCCAGAGCCTAAATTCTGACAACTCAATTTCCAGTTGCAAAATGCGGTGTCATTGCACGAGCCAACCTACTGCCCGAGAACGGCACAGCACTGTACTTGGCCCTGTGTGGCTGAGGGGTGTGGTTTTGAACACTGGCTGGAAGAATTCATTGACAGAATCCATGAGGCTGCTGCCAGAGGAGCACTGGTCAGGCCAGGTGTTGCCAACTGGGGCATGCCATGCCTCCAGGCGCCGTGCTCTGGCGGGCTTCCCAGAGCCGATGCAGCTGGGTGGCTCAGAGCCAGCAGTGAATGCCCTCAGAAACATCTGGGGAGCTCAACCGGGGTGCTGGGGGAGCCACCGGGTGTAGAGCAGGACCCCAGGCCTGGCAGCCAACAGGACAGAGCCCATGACCTGGGTGCAGCGCACACTTGGCTGTGCCAGCATGTTCGCCATGGCACAGCTTTGGCCAAGATAAGCAAGTCAAATATCCAACATTATTGGGCTCTTCTCTGCCTGGGAGCCGAGAGCCATGAACTTCAGGTCAGAACTAATGTTGGCAGTGTCCTGTCTCCAATCTCCTTGCTTGGGCTGGAAGGAGGGGGCTATCTCCAGGGCTGTTGTCTGCTGCTGGTGGCAAGCTGGGTGTGTCGGAGGCCTAGATGGGTCCCCTGCAACAGTGGGGGCACTGAAGGGCATGCACGTGGCTGTCTTCCTCCAGGACTTTCGGAAGCCCTGGGGGTTGTTTTACACGGGTGGGCTGTGTGTGGCCGTGGTGTTCCCTGACCTGAATAGTCCTTGTAGCTCATCCTGCAGCAGTTAGCAGGGGAGTGGGCAGAATCACACTGATGCTGGGAACGCCGGGCCGCCCCACACCGAGGGTGAGCCTGGGGTGGGGAGGGGCAGGAACCGCCGAAGCGAATGCGGCCCCTGGACGAAGTCTGCTTTCTAAGGGGCAAGAGCATGATGGTCCCAGACTGGCCACAGTTGCAGGCAAGGCTGGGCGCTCTATACCCTCCCATCCTGGGGCACAGATCTGCAAGGTGCCCGGGGCAACACTCGTCCCCTGGCTCTGCTCAGAGCAGCTTACGCTTCGCTCTTTCCAAACACGGCCTGGAGGTCAGGGCTCAAAACCACGTGTTCCTGATCCAAAACGGCCCTCCTGCCATGCAGTTTCTGCACATGGGGTCGGAAGCCCTGCCTGGAGGCCACAAGCTGGCCACTGCCTGCTCACCAGCAAAACTCCGGGGCCAGCCAGCCCTGCAGCCTGGTTCAACAGCTTCTGGGACCTGGAGAAGTCGTGTGAGGGTGGGGGCCTGAAGCTGGCTTGCGCCCAGGGGGAGGCCTGGCTAATGGCAAGCTCTGACCCTGGGCTGGGGCCCGGGAGGGGTGGGGTGGGGTGAGGGGAATTCTGGCCAGCAGTCTATGGCAACGTCTAGAAGGCAGCAGTTCCCGGCACGCCCGATGCAAAACTGTCCTTGTTCCCAAAACCAACCAAACCCACCCACCCCCAAAAGCAAATCAACCCCCACCCAGCCAGCGCGCGGTGGTTCTGAGTAGCACCCAGCCCGCGGGCAAGGAGGAGGGCGGCGTCCCGGTCTTAGCTCAAGTGGAAGCGGTGCTCGCCACGCGTGAGGTGGGACGAGAACTCGTACCTGTCCTGGCTGTGGTGACCGCACATGTTGCATTCGAAGGGATCCCGGAAGCCGTGGCAGCCCATGTGGATGGTGTACATGACGTGGTCCAGGAAGAGCACGCGACAGTGTTCGCACTTGTAGGCCTTGAGCTGTTCCCCGCCCGTGCCCAGCACGCGCAGCGCCTCGTGCGCGCCCTCGGCGCCCACGCGCAGCGCCTCGTAGGCGCGCGGCTCCTCCTTGAGGCCCAGCCCGTTGCGCGCGTGGGGCGTGATGTGGTTGGTCAGGTAGATGAGGCCGCCGCCGCCCACGGCCCCGCGCTGCTCGTCGGCGTTGCTCTCCGTGTCCGTCGAGTCGTGGCAGCTGTTGCTCGGGGACGCCTCGCGCTCTGCCGACGTAGCCTTGGCCTTGGAGAGCAGCAGCAAGTTCTCCACGGCGCCGTCCTGCGCCGCGTGGTTGGGGCGCGCGGGCGGCGGCGCCTCGGGCGGCTTGTGCAGCGGGTAGAGCGGGCTGAGCACCGGCACGGGCTCGCCTCCTCCCGCCGGCGGCGTCTGCACCAGCGGGCGCAGCGACTCGGCGCCCAGGTAGTTGATGGCGTTGTTGATGGCCTGGTCCATGACCTGCGACGTCATCATCTCGTTCTCCTTCTCGTAGCCGGCGCCGCCGTCGTAAGGCAGCTCCGACAGGCACTTGTCCCCTGTGGAAAGTGGGCATAGCGTGAGGTGGTGGCGAGGGGGCGCGGGGCACAAGGGTGACGGCGGGTGTGTGTGTGGATGTGGGGGTTTGGGCGAAGGGGCCCCCGTGGATGCGGGGCGCTGGGTTTGTGGATGCCTGAGCTGTAGATAACGGGCAAGGGACGTGTGGGGGGAGGGAGGAGAGAGGGCTATGCGGGATAAGGGGCTGGATGCAGCAGGCGTGGGTGAACTCAGGGCGAGGGGCGCTGGGGGCATGGGCGCAGGAGACTCCCTGAGGCCCGATGCAGCAGGCGTGGGTGAACTCAGGGCGAGGGGTGCTGGGGGCATGGGCGCAGGAGGCTCCCTGAGGCCGGATGCAGCAGGCGTGGGTGAACTCAGGGCGAGGGGTGCTGGGGGCATGGGCGCAGGAGGCTCCCTGAGGCCCGATGCGGCAGGCGTGGGCGTGTGGACTGAGGGCGAGGGGCGCTGGGGGCATGGGCGCAGGAGGCTCCCTGAGACCGCATGCGGCCCGGAACGCGCACATGCAGGCTGAGTTCCGCCAGGAAGCCATGGAAGCTGTCACTCAGACCTGACCTCCCCAACATACATAACCATTATTCCTGACGGGTATGGCGTGAGACAACATTTCACACAAGACCTCAGTGGCCAGGAAAGCCATCAACATGGTGTGTTTTGGGGGCGGGGGTACTTGGGCTGAGGGCAGGTGGGGGAGGGGCAGTTTAAAACAATAACTGGGACAGTGGGAATCATTTGGACTCTGGCATCCTGGCTGTGTCACCTTTTTACCTATTTGAATATTTGAAAGGCAGAGTTACAGAGAGGCCAGTACCCAGACACACCCAGACTGAAACCAGGAGCCAGCGGTTTCATCCAGGTCTCCCACAGGGCTCCAAGGGCCCAAGGACTTGGGCCACACTCTCCTGCCATCATAGGAGCACCACCAGGGAGCCAGCTCAGACGTGGAGCAGCCAGGACCCCATTTGCCACTCATGTGAGAGACCCAGCTGAAGCTCTTGGCTCCTGGCTCTGGCTCAGCCCTGGCTGCTGCAGCCCTCTGCGGGGAGGGGACAGCAGGTGGAAGAGCTGCCATTCTCTCTGTAATGCTTTCCAATTAATACATAAACATCAAGCCCCAAACCCAGATACAACCCCACCTCCTCGGGAGACATGGGGGCGGGAAGCAGCCACGGAAGCCAGCAGGGCGTAGGGTGCTGTCCCCGGGTTCTTGGGGAGCTCCCCCAGCACTAACCACATGCAGGGAAGCCCTGGGAAGGCCTGCTGCTTCCCCTGGGGGCCCAGACTGCCTGAGACTCTGGCTAAGGAGCTTTGGAGTCGGCAGCTGGAGAAGGACTGACTCTCCTCCAGCTTGTTAGCTAGAGCAGCTGTTTGCTGGGCTGTAGTCAGGACCATCGGGCCATGTGGCTCTCAGTGAGAGGAGGGGAGTGTCCCCCCGGAGCCATGGGGCACCTGAGAAGCCCACGTGGAACCCCTCTGCTTCTGTGCTTCAACACGCCTGGCCGGGGCAGCCTGTCCCCCCTGGCCGGAGCAGCCCGTCCCCCCTGGCCGGAGCAGCCCATTACCCCTGGCTGGGCAGCCTGTCCTCCGTGATGAGGCAGCCTGTCCCCCCTGGCTGGGCAGCCTGCCCGCCCTGGCCGGAGCAGCCACAGGGCAGTGTGCAGGCATGAACGATACCCCAGCCTGACAAGTACATGGCACACGGGGGCTGCACCACTAGGCAGCTAGATCTGAAGTGTGGGTTGGGACTGATGCCCAACATGGGGTGCTGGCATTACGGGTGGCAGCCCTGAAGGTGGCACACAGGCTTCCTGCACAAAGCCAGGCAGGTGCCGAGAAGAGAGGGGGGTTTGGGTTCTGAAGGGACTGAGTGAAGGGGATGGAGCTGGGCTGGGGCCAGAGCCATGCAGGTGGTCGGCAGGAGGGGTGGGCAGGGTGTGACCTGGCAGAGACCTTGGCCTAGGAGAAAGAGAAGCTGCTGAAGGGTTAGGAGGGTCACGGAGGGCCCCCTGTGAGTCCAGGCTGTGGCTGGGGTGGCAGCAAAGGGCCCTCACAGTCAATGAACTGCTCTGTGGCTCTTATAGACTAGAATAGTCTGACGGGGGTTCCCATGGCAGGTGAACGCTGGGCGTGCTTGCTGACAGCAGTGCCTGTCAGACAACAGGCTGCTGGGCAGACACGTGCCCTGCTCCCCTGTTCAGAGCACCAGCGACCCCTGAACTCACAGAGCAAATGTGGCCCTGGCTGGGGCGGCCCTCCCAGGTCTGGAAAGCTGGCGGGTGGGGCCTCTCCCCCTGAAGTCCATAGCGGTTGGCCTTGAGATGCTGCAAGGCTCGTAGCAACAACTTCGGAACAAAATAAGGCTACTCGGTTTGCACCCAAATCTATCCTGCCCTCAGACCTCCCCCTGCCCCCGATCAAGACTAGGAGCAGCAGACTCTGTGGCTAACTCTGTTAAACTTAAATGTGTTCGCAGCTCAAGCAAAATTGGTGTTTTCCTATCTAGTCATCCTAACCTCTCCCCCGAAGTCATGGTTTTGTGGTTACCCCAACAATAATCTGCTGTTTTACGAACTCGGTGTCAACAACAATAGGTGGAGAATAGAAAACCACGCATATTCCAGGTTGCTGCAGCATATCAAAACCACCCATGCAATGTTTCTTCCCTATTAGCCAATGAAATGAGCAAAAAAAAAAAAAAAAAAAAATTCAAAACTATGGAATTGACCACCAACGACCAGCTGGGGAGGTTTAAAGAAAAAAAAATCAAGGGCCATGGAACGAATAAGAACATTCTGGTACAACATACACAATCAAGCTTGGCTGCTGACTTCACTTCCCAAACCTGGGCTGTGAAGCCACAGCCTCCTCACTGTTTTCCTTAAGAGGAAAATGTCCGTATACCCATAGGGAACCCAGAGGCTCCTCCTCCTGTCACGGCAAGAAGCAGAAGACAGTGGAGAAGCTGGCCTCCCCAGCAGGACAGCCAGGGCCTGGAAGCGGGGCTACGTGGGGGGGGGGGAGCACTCCCAGCAGTGCCCCTTGTGGGATGGGTCATCCCACAGTGCTGCTCTGTCACGGAGGGAGACAGCGGAGGGCAGATCCTAGCCAAGATGCCCAAGTCCCGCTTCTCCAGCCTGGGTTAGCCTGCGATCTGCCGGGGCTGACCCTCAGCGTGCAGTGACTGCTCAGGCAGCTGAGCCCCCCACGCGTGCGGGAGAGAGGCTGCGTTCCTGCCCCCTGGCTTTGGCTGGGCCCAGCGCCAGCTGTGTGGCCGTTGGAGAGTGAACCAGCAGATGGGAGCGTTGTCTCCTTGTCTCGCAACAAGAAGGAAGGAAGGAAGAGAAAACAGCAAGAGCATCTTGTCACTCAGGGAGGAGGATGGGACAGGCCTTAGCCATGTCCACAGCAAAGCCACACCGTCCAGCCAGGTGGCAAGATGCACAGACTTCTCCAAGCCAAGCTGGTCGTCATGCGCCAAGGCCACAAAGGGACAGCAGAGCCGCCGCCACCTTCTGTGCAGGACTGCTTGGATGTGGAGTGTGCTCAACCAAGAGAGGGCTAAACCAAGCAGAGACTGGGACTAAAGGGCTGGTAGCAAACACCCACTCTACTTTGAGAATTCTGCCTGCAGGACACCCAGGGAGATGGCAAAGCTGGACAGAGCAGAAGCTCTGGACACTGTGGGACTGGTGCTGTGGCGCAGGGATGGAGCCAGCATCCCCACGGAGCTTTGGTCCGAGTGCCCCTGCCCACAGCACCGTGGAAATGCAGCTGGGAAGGCAGCAGGTGGCCCCCGCCACCCACATGGGAGCCTTGGGAGCAGGTCCAGCTGCAGCCGCGGGGACGAACCAGCAGGTAGCTGCTTGCCCCCGGTCTGTGTATGTGTGTCTCCCCCTCTCTTGTAACTCTGCCTTAAAATTTCTTTTTTTAAAAATAAAGAATTATGGACATCAAAAGGTGGAATTACATGAGTTTCAAAGCATTGAGACAGTAGATACTGGCAGTAGGTACTTTCAGTGTATTGCAAGAAGTGCATTCAGGCTGCTTCCCATAACTAGTTTTGGAGAAAGCCTCTATAAGCAATGTCCCTTCCTCGCAGAGGCAGGCGAGCTGCACATGGCCTACAGCGTCGTGGCCTGCTTTACATGCCTCCCTGTCCTCGGTCCCTCTCTTGATCAAGCTGCCCACTGCTAAGAGGGACTCGAGAAAATTCATGGAGAAGTGCAACTAAAAGATGAAGAATTTAAAATCTTGACAATGTTATTTTTTTTCAATCGCACATCGTTTTCTCATGTTTTCCATGAACTTTCTGGAAGCCTTTCCCTCTAGGTGCTCACTTCCTTGTAGTTTGTGGGTGTTGGGTTTTGCTTCGAAGCAGTGATGTTTTTTATTAGAACTTGTTCTGTTGACCACACGCTGATACAACAAGGGTTCTTGGAATTGTAATGGGTAGCAGGAATTTGCACTGTTTCCCCTTTGGGACTTTCTCCATCTTCACAGAGGTCACTAGGCCAGCTGAAGACTGCAGCTCTGTGCCGTCCACTTCCAGCCCGCTGCCCGGGCTCTGCTGACCCGAGGCCTGGGAGCTCTCTGATGGCCAGGGTGGCTGAGGCCTGCTGCTGGACACGCTTCTCCCCGCACTCACCCAAGGTCTGAGTCAAGAACTTTCCTCCTAGCTCGGCGGGAAGGCAGCCTCATGTGCTGAGGGCGGCGCCCCCTCCAGGTCACTCCGAGGCACAGCTGGAGCTGGGCCTGGCCACATCCCAGCCATGTCCCTGAGCAGGGGCAGAAGTCAGCTGGCCCGGCAGAGGGCCCAGAGGGCCCTGGGAGGCTGCAGCCGTTTATTTCAGAGCTGGGACATGGTGACAGGGTCCCTGTAGCCAGACACTACTGTGCAGCTCGCATCCTCCCGGGTTGGCGTCTCCTCCGGCCTACGTTTAGGTGGCAGCCCTCTCTGTCAGGGCATTGAGGGTGTTTTCTCTTTTAATAAGGGACAATGCCCTCCTCCCTGTGGTCTCGCCCGGCTGGCTAGGTGGGTGGAGGGACTGCGGAAGGCAGAAGCAGACTACTCCACTTCCTGAGATGGGTGACAGTCTCTTGGGTCCACACTGCTGTCTGTGGGCTGTTCCTCGGGGCCTGCAGCAATCGCTGCCTGTCCTGGGAGGGGCCGCAGAATGGGGCTCAGAGCCACTGGAGACCTCCCTGCCTCCTGTGCTCTGGACACTGGGGGCCTTCCCCTATGGCTGGAGGCTTTTTGAAAACCAGTTTTCACACCGAGTTCTTTCTTTCCTGGCCTCCTCAGCCCTTGCTCTGCACCCTACTTCCCCGAGAGCTCAAGAACAGCCCCGTCTGAAGTGGCAGGAGAGAGGCGGTGGCCCAGGGGCTCGGCCTCCTCTGTACTTCCCCTTCTTGCAGGTGCACCCTGGGGTGCCACCACCCCCTCTTCCTGGCCTGTCCCGGACCTCCCGCAGGCATGGATACCAGGAAGTGCCCGAACGCCAGCACAAACCTCAAAACTGGCAGGGCACCTCCTCCAGGAGCAGGCTGTGTGCCCCACCTCTGCATCTGAGCCCCCACCCTCTTTCTCCAAACTTCCTCTCCCCTTGCTCACGGCCACCCTCCCTCAGTCAGTTTCCCCTTTCTGATCAGTCTTGGACCCTGCTGTCTCCACCTCCCAGTACACGAAGCTTTCTTCCTGCCTCCAGCACAAAGGACTGGCTGCTTTGCTCAGGCCATGGGGATAGCAGTTCCTACAGGAAGTCCAAGACCGTCCATCTGCCATGCCAGAGTGTCCCTGTGGGCACCGGAGCTAGTCAGGAACATGGGCCCCTCTGGCCCCGTTGGCCCCTACGCATCACCCTGCAGCACCTGCGTGCTCACAGCCCTCACAAAGCTGTTAGTGGGCCTTGCTCCTGGACACCCTTCCTCCCACTCAGGATCAGAACTGACCCCTGCCATCCCCAGGTCGATTGGTGTCCATATCAGCCAGGCAAGAGTGGAATCAGGCCCCAGGGGAACCGAGGTTGCTCCCCCTGGAGCCACAGCCAGCAGCTCTGACCCACCGGTCCTGGGCAGCTGTGACCACGCTGGGAGGGGCCCCCAATCTGCAGTTTCGTCCCTGTCAGCCCCAGCTAGGGACGTGGGCAGCAATCAGAATAACAGCCCTAGCTAGGTCCCTGCTTTGCGTGTTTCCCCTCAGAGGCCTCTCACCGGGCGGTGCCTCCCCTGGGGCGGCATCGGGGATGACCTGTGACAACCAGGCGTGGAGGGATTTGCTGCATGGGCCCTTGGGCTGTTCCGGGTTCACGTTCTCACCCCGGCTTGCCAATCTCTCTGCCTCTAGAGAAGAGAACCTCTAGAAGAACTGGTGGGAGAAGGGTTGAAGAAGTGTTGGGAAGCATGCGCCACTGCTTACAGAATGTAATCGCTGCCAATTCCCACTCTTTACAGACAATATCTGCTGCCCGCCAGCGCTCCAGCCCGCCCTGCCCACCAGTGCTCCAGCCCGCCCTGCCCAGCGCTCCAGCCCGCCCTGCCCACCAGTTCTCCAGCCCGCCCTGCCCTGCCCAGCGCTCCAGCCTGCCCTGCCTGCCAGCGCTCCAGCCCGCCCTGCCTGCCAGCGCTCCAGCCTGCCCTGCCCAGCGCTCCAGCCTGCCCTGCCCAGCGCTCCAGCCTGCCCTGCCCTGCCCAGCGCTCCAGCCCGCCCTGCCTGCCAGCGCTCCAGCCTGCCCTGCCCGCCAGCGCTCCAGCCTGCCCTGCCCAGCGCTCCAGCCCGCCCTGCCTGCCAGCGCTCCAGCCTGCCCTGCCCGCCAGCGCTCCAGCCTGCCCTGCCCAGCGCTCCAGCCCGCCCTGCCCAGCGCTCCAGCCTGCCCTGCCTGCCGGTTTCCGTGAGGGACTAAGCTCTTACCGAGGAATTTCTGAGGCATGGAGCTCTTGCGTTTGGCGACGTTGCTTGCGAGTCTGTCCAGCACGAGGGAGCGCTCGGACCCCATCTTGCACAGGTCTTCTGCCATCTCACTGTGATTGGCCTCTTCTTTAATGACTAGAGCCAGAGTCAGACAGGCCAGTTTAGAAACACTCGCGTCCTGAGGCTCCTGAGGCGTCCGCAGTAAACCCACCACCCAGACACCCGCGACGGCCAGGCCCTCTGTAGAGATGACCGCGGGTCCTCCCTTGTGCCCAGCCAGCCAGCCAGATGCCCCTGTAGCAATGCCACCTGCTGAGGGGCGTTCCTCTGCCATCTATTCAGTGCAGGTCCCGCAGAACAAGCCCACGCTGGCGCCTTAGGCTGCCCTGGGACTGTGCACTTGTGTGCCTGGCAGGGTCCTCTTTTTGAAAAACATCCACGAGCCCAGCACCTCAGGCCACTCGGATCGTAGTCCCCTGGGGTCCGCCTTCACCCGCTGACAAGCAACCCCAGGGGAGGACCCTGAATGCAGGGCACACTTCTGATGCCCAGGCCTGGCCACACTTGTCTCTATTGTCTCTCACCATCATCACCCAGGAGAGCACTGCCTCCTCAGAGCCCTATGATGTTTACTCCTGGACCGCACGCCAGCACGCTTTCATGTACTGCCACTTATCGTCATGGATAAGGAGCTGAAGGTGTGACCTGGCAATCTGGGACACCCTCCAGCCTGTGCACCTGCCCGCATGTGACCCCAGCTCCTTGCTTCCCTGACTTTTCTTCCCCCAGGACTTGCACACACGACCCTATGCTCTCATGGGGTGACATCACTCGTTTTTAAAAACGTTCCTAGGACCAGTGTTAGGGTGCAGTGGGTTATGTCATCTGTGGATATCCCATATTGGAGCTCTGGTTGGAAATCCACTGCTCCATTTTTCTTCCCTACTAACGTGCCCGGGGAAACAGTGGGACATCATCTGACTCCTGACACCAGGCCCCTGATGCCAGGATGGAGTTGCCAGCTCCTGTCACTGGCCTGGCTCAGTGGTGACCACTGGGGGAGTGAACCAGTGGGTGGGGTGGCTGGTCTCTCTCTCTCTGTGTCTTCTGTCACTACCTTTCAAATAGCTAAAATTCTGTCTTTCAAAATGAAAGAGTTGCCAGTTGTGCCATCTGTCCGTCCAGGTACACTGCATGACCCATTGTCAGCATGTTCCAGTAAGACGACATGGCAGCTAGCAGGGCCTGTTCATGCGCCTGTGTGCTGCAGTATGGGCTGCACCTGTGTGCCCTGCACCTGTGTGCCCTGCACCTGTGTGCCCTGCACCTGTGTGCCCTGCACCCTGCCCTGCACCTGTGTGCCCTGCACCTGTGTGCCCTGCACCTGTGTGCCCTGCACCCTGCCCTGCACCTGTGTGCCCTGCACCTGTGTGCCCTGCACCTGTGTGCCCTGCACCCTGCCCTGCACCTGTGTGCCCTGCACCTGTGTGCCCTGCATTCCGTACATTTGCTGCCGAGGACATTTCTAAATATCCTCTGCTTTCACGGCTCTCATGAATGTTATTTTAAAAACATGTTTCAAATTTGTTATTGCTGGTACATGTAGTTTTTTAACATTAGAAATACATGTTATCAAATGGGCAAAAAACACTCCCCCTACCCTGATTTACATGAAGGATATACAGAAACACAGCCAGCCCAACCCACGGTGGTACACCTGCCCCCTCAGGCGCCAGGCTTCCTGCTTGTGCTTCTACCTGGGACCCTCAGCGCTCCAGGCCACAGGGCCTCCCAAAGTGGACACTGACCCAAGTAAGGGGGGGATTGAGGACAAAGCGCCCAACCCCCCCACCTGCTGTGGCCTTCACACCAAGGGATTGCGACACAATTTGAACGCTAAGGCACGGATTCTGAAATGCAAAGACATTAGAGAAAAGAGGTGAACGAAAGCCTTTGCTACAAAAAATCATAAAAAACTTCATCTTTCTCTGCCTCCTCTAAACAAGGCCTTGGTTTAGCTCCCGGGCCTGGCCTGGGGGCCCATCCGTCTAAGCACTGAGCAGTGCTGGTCCCTGGTATCCTTGGGTGTGAGGAATGTGGCAACCTGGTCAAGGCGCAGGGCCTACCAGCCCGGCACTGGAGGTTGACCTGGCCCCCAGATGCCCCTCACGTTAAGTGTAGGAGCAGAGTCCTTTCAGGGTCTCCCCCATTCTCCCGCTTCCTGACCCAGCACCTGCTCACACCTGCAAGGGCCAAGCAGGAATGCTTCTGCTGACAGGCGGTTAGGCCATGTGGCACGCAGTGCTGTGGCCAGAATGGGAAGAACTCAACAAAGTGCCAGCCTGCCTGGCTCCATTGCTGCTGCAGCAAGGGACAGAGTCACACCTTCCCAGGCCCCTTGCAGCTCGTCGGCATTGCTGGTCACTTGGCCACGGGGGAGATGCTGCCGGCCACTGGGACTGCCACAGGTCCCCTGCAGGCTGGTCCACCGGTGCAGATGGATCAGAAGGGTCCAGGGACCTGCACCTCTGGGCCAGGTTTCCAAGCCTGCCAGTGGCCAGCCTGCATGCTGACCTCACCCTCTGAGCGCTGCCTGACTGGGAGCACATCACGTGGTTAGCAGGGGGTCCCTGGGTCACACTGGAGTCAGTTTCAGGGACGAACTCTGAAGCAGATTTGGGGGAACCTGTGGCCTGTTGGGATCCCTCAGCTATCTGCTTAACAAGGAAATGTGTCAGGGAGCGAGAACATGGATGGAGTTCAAAAAAGAACCAAGGGTGCAAACATTTTGAAAGCCACGCATGCGTGCAGTTCTTCAGGAGGACTGTTTGAGCGTCTGGCTGCAGGACCATCGGTGGACACTTGAGTCCCCTCCACTGGGGGTAGGCGGTTGTGTTGCCCCCTCCCACGTCATGTCATGTACCCTCGCTGACCATGTAAGCAACGTGTGAACGGTTTCTATTCCATGCATTATGGAGCAGCGACAAGGGAGGAAGTCCGTACCTTCACATGGACGCATGTCCCCCAGACGTGGGAGGAGTGCAGGTGCGTCCCCGCACAGGGAAGCCTGGGGCATGTCCTCTGTGTCTTCCTCACTGTCTTGCCAACCCCACGTGTTTCTCAGACCACTGTATGCACGGGCTTGGGGTTGTGGACAATATGTCTTCACTAAATGTTGGTTGAATGCATCAAAAGCATTATTATGCAAGCTACATCATTAGGAGCCCTTGTTTATTTGCTTTTCACAGAAAAATACAGTATCTGAGTATTCACTTTTTTTAAGGAACAAAAGCATCCTCCCACCCTGTTTCCTCCTTCCCTGGGCTTGTCTACAAACCACAAGCCACTAAATTTCCAGCTCTACTTCAACTTTAATAGCCTATTCCTCCTGTCTTTCCCACCCCAAGGCCCTCCCGATGTCCAGACAGAGCCAGTCAGTTGCTGGGGCTTCCTTCCTTGCTCCCATCTCTGCTATCAGCTGCCACTGATGCCCAGGGGCTTCTTCCTCGGGAAGGAGGCTCAGTGAAGTCCGGACTGTGACCTTCACGCCTAGCTCAGAGCCCAGGGCACGGTCCTCTGGGGCTGGGGCTACGGGAGTGGCCTCTCTGGCTGTCCTGGGAAGAGCCTCACATCCATTGTGCTAACTCAGGAAGGTTCCTGTTTGTACTGCCTCTTGCTAGGTCACTCCTGTCATCATGGTCACTTCACATTATCCAGGACGTGACTTGGAGGATGGCTCTTGTGCAAGGTGCATGGAAGCCGGCCACCATGAGGAAGCAACAGTGTGCCCTCTGTCCTTGGTCAGCCTGAGTGCTGGGCCCAGCAGGCTCCTCCCGGCCCCTTGGATGCTAAGCCCCAGGCAGGCGCAGACCCTGCGCCACTGGCCAGAGCCCAGGCTAGCTCAAAGCCTAGGTGTTCTTAGTTGAGCATCTTTACATGGAAGAGCAGTTCTAGAGCCAGTTTCACGTCTTATTCTGCTACCTTAGCACATCCAATCCATTGCTACGCAGGGGTTGAAAATAAAAAGCACTCGCACCAGCACCCCAAAAATACACATGGAACCTGGGAGAACCCCTGTTCACTAGGTGGGGAAGCGGCTCTTGAAGCCCAGCTGTCAGGTCAGACAGCGGCTGAGAAAGTGGGGGGCTCAGGGGCTGCGGCATTACTGGCCATGCAGCCAGGGGGATCGCAGGCCCAAGGCTCCGCCCCGAGCTGGCACAGGTGCAAGCCAGCTGCGGGGTCCTCCAGGCCCGCCTCCCTGCTTCTGCGCTTACCTGGGTACAGCGTGCCTGGAAGGCCCATGCTTTCCAAGTAGTTGTGGCATCGCTCTTTATGTTCCTCTAAAGAGCTTCGCTGCTTATAGCTTCGGCCACAATATCCACATTTGTGAGGTTTACCAACTGCGGAAAACACAATGGAGTGAATGTTGGCCTTGTGTCTACTGGGGATGCATGCAAGACAATCATTACCAAAAAAGTAAAAAAAAAGTCACTCCCGAGAGCTAAAAGCATTATGGTGGTGGTCAAAATCACAGAATTGAAAAATGTTAGCTCCCAGTTTCCCAGATGGTTCCATAAGCCTACTGATTCTTGCCTTGCTGGGGTTTGTCTGCCATGTAGCCAGCTCCATGCCCCAAGGCACCACAGGCTGCACAGGGATGTGAGAGGTCCAAGGACCAGGACGTGGACTGGGGAGCCCATGGGCCCCCCTCTAGAGCAGCTGGGCCAGCTGTGCTGTGGCACTTGACGCCACGCCAGTTACAACCAGAGCGAGCCCCGCCCCTCAGGCCTACGTGGAGGATTCATGGTCTCCAAGAAACAGTGGAGGGTCAATTCACTCAAATGAGCTGTGCAGAACAGAGAGGAGGAGGTACAAATACTCAACGTATTTCCTGCTGACAGTGCCTGTGGGTGAAGTTCAGTGCCTGCTCCCACAAATCTGGGGCTGAAGCAGCTTGTGGCCCAGCCCTGTCCCACACTGTGGGCCTCCCTACTGTGCCACTCAGAATGGCAGTCACCCACTGCGTGTGGCTGCTGAGCGCTCAAAGGCTGCCTGGTGCCAGGGAGAACGGAGATCTTTAATTTGCAACGGTTAAAATGCAGTGCCACGTAGGGCTAATGGCCCTTGCACTGGGCCACACAGTTCTACGGAACGAATTCCTCTCTCCCTGGCTTTTACTGACCAGAATTTTAGAAAAACAAGGCCAGCCGGGAATCTGTAACAGGTGTGGGCTTAAAGATCCCTGTGTACATCAGGAGAGATGAGATGGATATGGAGGTCTCCGGCCTCCCACGTGAAGGATGGCAATGCCCACCCCGAACAAGACCTTGTACTTCTTTCTTATGTTGTTTGATCTAACATATCTCTGACTAGCATCTGGAAGTCAAAGACAGTCGTGTGGAAATGTCTGGCCCCTGGGGACCAACGTTTGCTGGGGTTAACTCTCCTTCTCGGGTGAATGGAAGCTAAGATCTCAGAACAGAACACGCACATTCAAATGTGACTTCTGGATCATTTAGAAGAGGAAGAAAGGGACCTTCCTTCAGCTGCAGAAACCAAGATGCGCCCCAACACCAGGAAATAATGTTGAAATATCCCATGCTGCCTAAAATTTCACAATGTTCAAGTCCCGCCCTTTTCTGGAAAAACTATGAGGCTAGCCACAGCATGGCACCTGGACACCACTGTTCCCAGTATGGGGCCATTTCTCCCAATAGCTCTGCTGAACGTGGCTCAACTAAGGCAAGTGTAATGCACAGCCCAGACCCTGGGGGAAGGAGTCTCAGGGAGTGGGCAGCTCTCAGAAAACGGGAAGGAAGGGGACCCCCCCGCCCACCTCTGCTACGCCCTGCCCCACCTCTCTCCTGCCTGGACACATTCCTTCTCCAACTCTCTCCCTATGAAGCTGCCCTTGTCTGGTCTGGTCCAAGGCCCCCAACAGGTGCTCAGGAGAGTTCTAGGGGGCTCCTGACTGCTAAAGGAGCAGGAGAGTGGGCCCTCCACAAGGCACAGCTGCTTCTGGGTATGCAGACCCAGGTAGAAGTCTTTAGTCGGCCCTTGGAGGAAGCTGCATCCCCATGTTCCTGAGCAGTGGTTGCCCACGGCACTTCCAGAGGTGGGCTCCACAGCTGGTGCTCCCCAGTGTCTGCTGGTGGCTCCCTGCCCCATGTCACACCTGTGCCAGGCCCTGCCTGAGCATGGTGCCACCCTGGAGCCAGCAGAAGCAGAGTGCCGTGCCCTGCTGGCGATTACAAGGACTTGTCTGAGACTTCAGTCACTGGAGGGCAGAAGTCAGCTGTCAGCTGCAGAACACGCCTGCGCGTTTTCCAGGGACTCAGATGTTATCCCACTGGTCTCTGTCCTCATGGCCAAGGCCACTTGGGCCAGGCACTGCTGTCACCGCCAGGCAGGTCCACCATGCTCCTCCCATGTGGGGGCAGGCATGGCCCATGGCCACCCCGTTGACCTGCTGCTCCCTGTCAGGAGCTGTTCCTGAGCCGGGCTCAGTTTACCCGAAGCACTCAGGCCCGGAGGCTCCCCTCTGTCCCTCCCCAGGGGTCTGCATGTCCCTGGGCCCCAGCCAGGAGGGAGGCTCCCCTCTGTCCCTCCCCAGGGGTCTGCATGAGTTCTGTCCAGGGGCCCCAGCCAGCAGGGAGCGCAAGTTGCTATAGCTTGACCTTTCTGAGTCTCTGCGAACTCATGTGCTTCCTCCAGGGACTCCAAAGCCAACATTAGAGCCTGGCCGCTGTCCTGCAGGTCCCCGAGTTCCTCCTGCTGACAACCCCGCCAGAGGCTGACCGGACTGAGAGCATCACCTGACCCCACGGAGAATGAGCATCCCGAGGTGCCTGGGGAGGGTGGCACCAGGAGATGGGCATGGGCAGCACCCCTGAAGCACAGCTGTTCCACATGCTCATCACGGTTGAGAAGGGTGGCCGGAGCCTGTCACCGTCCAGAGAACACTTGCTCCTAAGACCACTTGGGTGGGAGCCACTCCAGGCTGACTCGGCGAACACTCGGTGAGGACAGGGCAGGGCCTATCTGGTCCCACTCTCCAGACCTTCAAGGAGCCCCCAGGTCAGACATGTCGGTCCAACACCACACAACGCAGTTGGCCCAACCCTTTCCTGTGCTGACCCGCAGGGTCTCAGCTGCAGGTCAGGAGACATCTCAGAAGGTGGAAGACAGTCTGATTGGTGGCAGCCTAGTGTGTCACAGGGCGGGGCCTGCCTGCGACCCCAGCACTAACACTGCACATTATTGGGGCGCACTCTGCTCTGAGAGAGGGGCACTGAGTTTACAGGCTCTGTGCCCTTGACCCTCCCGAGGGCCCGGGTGGTTTCTGGTGTAGCTCACCTGGGCTGAGCAAGGCTCTCAATCTGGTCACCCCTGCCAGGAGACTCCCATGACTGCCACCTGTGCTTGGCTAAGGCTGAACAACGCCCTCCAGTCCTAGCCAGCAAAATGCCCCGCTGGACCCCACTTACCGGACAGGGTGGGACGAGGTTTCCTAGCTGGGGTTCCTGTGTGCGTCCATGTGTGTATTATGCTGGTGTGCACCCATACCTGTGCGTGCACGTGAACGTACAAGTGTGCACTGTGCATAGTTCCCGAGCCTGCATATGTGCCTGTGTTCCTGGATGCGTGTGCACGTGTGCACACTTCCCCACCTCTTTCCTCTGGCTTCGACTCACGGGGAAAAGGACATAGGGTGGGACCGGGCACCTACCGGAGTGTGTGCGCAGGTGGCCCGTGAGGGCATCCCGGCGGCGGCAGGCGTAGTTGCAGAGGTGGCACTTGAAGGGTTTCTCGCCGGAGTGCAGCTTGATGTGGCGCAGCAGGTTGCCCTTCTGGGTGAAGGAGGCCCCGCACTGGTTGCACTGGAAAGGCCGCTCCCCTGGGACAGCACAGGAGAGTGTGAGAACGGGGCGAGGGCCCGTGGCCGCCCTGCAGAACTGGCTGTTTCCCACGGGGCCGCCGACTTGCACCGGCTGCAGGTTTGATAGAACATGAGGCTTCACACTGAACCTGCCAGCAACTTAACGCTTCACTGGCTGGGTCAATTTGATCTGAAAATCTAATTTTTTTCCCCTAAATCAGAATGGCACATCACAATGCAAATTCAAACTCATTTAAATAAAGTGACTGCAACATTTTGTGATGAAGAGCCAGTCTTCCTGATCAGCAGTTTTGGAATAAACCAATATCCAATTTTGCGTGTTGTGGCATTTGGTGGGGTTTTTAATGTGGCTTTTTTCAAAGGGTCTTTAAAATATGCCACTGAAGCAGCAAAATAAAAAGGAAACTCATTAAAAATGCATTTCAGGATCACAAGTTCATTTCAGCGTTACATTCTTATATTTAAATGAAAGGCACTTCATTATAACAGTTATAATAACTTCTTTTCATTTACATTTTCCCTTTCAATTTCTTCTCCATTACCTGTCTGTCCTTAAGCAGGCAAATCAGGAGAGAGACAGAGAGGGTGAGACAGCCAGGGAGACGGGAAAGACGGTGTGGAAGGAGAAGTGGAGAAGCCAAAGGCCCCGAGTGCTGGCAGGCTGACGGCAGGCTGCCGAGCAGCTGGGGGAAATTCCTGGGCAGCTTCTGGGACCTCTGAGCGCAGGCAGCAGCTTCCCACCAGACAGCTACCCTTGGGGACTGGCAGGAGCTCGGGGCTTCTGAGCCTGGAGCTGGAAGCCACAGCGGGCGTCTGCGGCGTGGCTGTGCAGCAAAGCCCTGGCCTGGCCATCCCCACTGGTCAGCACTTCCTTAATCCTGCTGCAAAGATGCCACTTTGCCGTGTCCAGCTCTTCTGGAAGCCATCCCTCTCTATAGAGGAGTGCCGGGTGGCCACCACGTCCCTGGCGTGAGATACCATGAGACGACGGTGTTTCCAGAATCATGATTGTCTTACAAAAATGTGAGCACCTTCAAGATTTCCGTAGCTGTGTTCCCAACTGATTCATATGACTAGGAAGTAGATGATGACCAAGGAGTGAGGCTGGCCGGATTCCCTGTTTAGTCTGTGTCATTTCTGAGATCTGGCTAGCCCTTTCCGGTGGGCAGGCCAGCCACAGGGGGTCCTGAGGCTAACCAGGCTGGATCTGGCATTTCTCCCAGCCGCTACTCGGAAGGTGTCTGGCTGAGCAGAGAAAGACCTGAGTCACCCAGGCTGGAAGGCGATGATTAAACAACCGCCTTGCTTGTCACTCGCTCTTCAGGGACAAGCACACACACGTGTGCGTCGTTTGGAGAGCAGCCATGGTGAGAGCAGATCCAAGCACCCGGGGGCAATGCTCTGGGCCTCTGCGCACACGTGTGCGTCTAATGACACAGGGCACAAAAAGGAGACGAGCCATGTGCAGGGGACCCAGAGGGCCTGCATTTTCCACAGCCCTCGGCCACACTGTGCTGTGAGCTACGGCTCGTCCTCAGGCTGGGTGGAGAGGAAGCTGGAAGGGGAGCAGCTGTTTCAGCCGCGGGAGACAGGTGTCCAGGGTCAAGGTCACAACCCCCTGCCTGATAGCACCACAGGCAGCCCATGTGTGCTTGAATGTGCAGACCAGGTGTGAGGTCCTGAAGACAGCACACTCCAACATGGGCCTACTGCAGGGAGCTGGCTCCCCTTGGCAGAGCTCAGGGCGTGTCCTTGCTGGGTGCCCTCCACTGCAGCTTAGGCGGAGCCAGTCCCAAGGATGGATCTGCTCCTTTGCTGCTAGCAATTTAAGACAGAGGCATGATCCCAGCAACTCCACACTCATCCTGCTGTAGCAGACCTGGGAAGAGCGTCTGCGTCCCCTTCAGTAGCAGCTCCACGGCTGCCCACAGCTTAGGGTTCCTGGTGGAGCCGAATGAACTGCAAAGTCTGTGCTGAGCACACTGCCTCTGGGGCCTGGTGCCCACAAGCAGACTGTCTTTTGGGCTTTGATGCGTGGATTTTAGAAACCTTGTGGACAATGGTGACCGTGGGCTCTCTGCAGTTCCCTGTGCTGCTGGCCGTTGGTACTGCCTCCTTTCTCTGACTTCCATCCCATCTGACCCCCTCCCACCACGGGCTGTAGTAAGAAGGCTCTGTCATTGGCTTCGAAGCAAAAAGATGGAGCTGAGCAGCACAGTGGGGGTGGGGTGGGGGTGCTAGTGCCAAAAGCCTGTTAGGAAATGGCTGCCCAGCAGAGACTGCCCCTGTGCCCATCAAGGACTATGATATCCTGACGCTCCTGGCTGACTCTATCATAGGCAGGAAAGAAGGTCGGCTGTCTGGGTGCAAATCCAAGCCTTCCCGAGGAGTCCAGGATCTCCGCTCTGCTTGGAGGAGCCACCATGCAAGGCCCTGTCTGCTCCACTGTCCAGGGTCAGGAGTCTCAGATGCCCCTTCTAAGTGCAAAGCCTGGCTTCACCGAGAGCACAGGAGGCCTCCTGCCAAGTACATCTCCCTGTGTTCAGGCCCCAGCATGAGGCAAGCCTCGAGCACGCCTGCTGTTCATACCTGGTGTGGACCAATGAGGCCACCTCTATCTGCAGCCCCGCACATCCTCATGGCAGCGCACGGCTTTCTTGGTCAAACCGGAACTGGCGGTCAGCCCTGATGCTGAGAGCCGTTATCTCCAAGTGAGGACCAGGCATGCTGGGGAAGAGCGGCAGCCAGCGGGTGCCACTATGCGTATCTTCAACTGGCAGGTTTATTCATTAAAGGTCATTATTCCTTTTGTCAAGGTGAGCACACATTGTATTATGGCATTTGGTGTGCCGCAATTTGATTCACTTATCAGCCAGTTACTGAAGAGAATTTTCTCCATACGGTCAGGCTTTACATGAATTAGCAGAAAAGCCATTCATCTCTGAGGTCAGCGCCTCATCAGCAATGCACCTGCAGCCCCCGGGAGCACGTCCCTCTCAGGGTGGCCCACCTTCCAGCTAATTTCCACCTCATTACAAAGGTGGCGTGGGATTATGCTCATGCCGGCTTTACTTGGCGCTGGAAGTGACAGGGTTATCACACTGGGTAATTTGAGGATTAAGGGGCCCATTAGGAAAAGCAAAGTTTGCTGAATTTCAGTAGCTAAACTTGTATTGAAGGGGAATGCCCATGGAAAATCAACTTATTTATGGTTCTCCAAATATATTACAAAGTACTATTTTTGAAACTGCCTTGATTTAAACATAAAAATGACAGCCTCTTAAGGGCAGATGCTGGCACTGGCATAGTGGGCGAAGCTGCTGCTGATGCTACTCGCATCTCCTATGGGTCCCGCTGCTCCACTTTCCATCCAGGGAGGCAACGAGGGATGGCCCAGTCATCTGGCTCCTCCAATGTGGGAGAGTTGGGTGAAACTCCTGGCTTCTAACATTGGCCTGACTCAACTCTAGCTATTACAGTCACCTGGGGAGTGAATACGCGGATGGAAGATCTCTCCCTGTCTCTGTAACCATTTCAAATAAATTTAAAAAAAATTACAATCCCCCGAATATGTGCATTTCCTGACAACCCAGCTATTTTGGTACTGCTCAACAAGTTGGATTCTTGCTTAATTCTTGATCAGCATGCACTTGGCCATGAGTTTCCTGGGGCTGCCTTGTGTCAGGGTCAGCAGGCTGCATGCCCGAAGCACTCTGTCCTTGTCCTAGTCACTGCAGGGACAAGGGGCAGCTTTGCGGAGACCCCAGGACGCCAGGTCCTGGCAGCCACAGTTCAGGGAGCTGTGCTCAAAGAAGAGGCCAGTGCCTGCTCTGCTTCACAGACGTCTGCTGTCTTGGTTAAGACCAGCTGTGTGCCGTGGACGTGGCCGTGGCTGTGGATATGGCCGCGGCTCGCTAGTGTCCCATTAGGTCAGCTGAGCACGTACAGACAAGCCATGAACGAGACTCACGGAGGGGCTGAGCTCCCCACACCTCGCAAGGGGGACAGCACCTGAGCTGGCAGGCCTCCCGGCACCACAGTGCCCACACTGCCCCCCGCTAGAAGCTGCCCACGTTTGCAGCCAGCATTCCACTGGCACAGGTGTGAGGCTGCCCACGCTTGCAGCCAGCCTTCCAACCAGTAAAGGTGTGGCATGAAATCCTCTGCCATCTGAGCCGAACTGCCGCAGCAAGCCACCAGCCCAGCCATAGCCTGACCTGACATCGCCTGCCGTCCACCCATGCCTGGCCACTCCTGGGGTCCCAGTGAGACACTCTGGGCGTCAGTTTAGCTGCACCCACCTCTTTGGGTTTGGTTTGCCCTTGCTTGGCTCAGAGTAGCCCAGCCCGGCTGGCAAGGCAGAGACGATGTGGTGTGTGCGACCTCAGACCCTGGATGGATCCCACAGAGGCTACTGTCCACCCTCCCTTGTTCTGACCACGGCGCCGGACTGGAACGCACCCAGACTGCCTGACTGCTTCCAAGAGAAGCATGCTAGCTTTGTGCGATCGCAGCCGATGCCAGCGCTCTGGAAACGCGCACAGGGACATGGGGCATGTCCCTCCTTCCAGGACGGGCTCCAGACCCCGGGAGGGAATCGCAGCAGGCCTTACCCGTGTGGCTTCTCTTGTGGACCATGAGCACATTGGGCCCGATGCAAATGATCCCACAGACATCACACTTTAGTTTTCCGTTCGGAAGTCGAATGCCTCCAACTCCCGACAGAGCCGAGCTGCCTTGGTCCCTGTGGGGGCCATTCATTTTGTCTCCCGAGGCATCAAGCATTCGTAAATCCTCCGCACATTCTTCCCCATTCATTTCACAGGCACGCGCATTCTCTTCATCACTCTGAGTCTCTACTTTAACATTACTGGCTGAAAGAGACAACACGGGGGAAGCTCAGTGTCACTGCAGGAACAAAGCACAAAACAGCACAGCGGCAAAAGGACAATCAAATAGACAAGGAATTACCCCGGGCGGGCGTCTCCTACGGGGCTGGGGTCTGCTGAGAGACCGTCCCAGGCTGAGCCCCACACTCAGAGTGCTGGGTACACGGCCCACCTCACAGGCAAAACCCTTAAAAGTGCTCATCCAGCTGCAACAGCTCCCCACTGGCTGCCTCCTCCGCTAACACTGAGGCAGACGGGCCAGCATGCCCAGAGCTCGGACCACAGCTCCTTTGGGAACCCCGAAAGGCTTTTGTGATCCTCGGGTGCGACTGCACAGGTGAGTCCACGTGCTGGAGGGTCAGCGTGGCTGTCGGGACGTGTGTGAGCCGGGAAGGGCACGCACAGAGGGATGCTGGTACAAACAGGCCTGGGGATGGCGGGAGTCTGAACGTGAGAGGCGCCTCCGTGCTCGGAGTTCCCCAGGATCGGACTGTGGGAAACGCCCTTGCAAACTGCTGAGGGAGAGTGGTGCGGGGGCCAGTGTCCCTGTGTTCACTCACTACTGCCCCGCCACACCTGCCCCTGCTGCTCTCAGCACTCGGCAAACCCTGCACGAGTGGGGCTGGCTCTGGGACACAGCCACTCCCAGGTGAGCCAGCAGCGGACTGTATACCTGGTCATGCACACCATAATTCAGTAGGCTGCCAACTGCCCAGACATGGGCCCTCCTGTGAGAACCCCCTCAGGCCGGCCTGGGATTGTCTCTTCCCAAGGCCTGCCTGTGCAGCTCAGATGGGCTGGGCCCCCATTCTTCTCATTCAGGCACCCTGCACCTTGGCAGCCGCCTGCCCCCTGGCCCTGCTGCCCTGACCCTATGGTGCGTCTGGCACAGAGCGTGGGGCAGGTGAGGGGGACAGATAATTTGGCAGGCACAGGTGCTGTTGGGACAATGAGGTCTGTGTTCCCCAAAGAGGAGGAAGAGAGACTCGGGCTGGTGCACCTGCATGCTCGGCATGTTGTGGCGTAGCACGAAGCCCTCCCCAGGTGCCAGCATGCATCCCAGTGCTGCGAGCCTCCAAACACAGGATGCCGGCAGAGACCTGTGCGCCCCTTCCCTACAGAGGGTTTGTAATGATCCATCTCAGAATGAAGAATGTGTCACCTTAAAGAACTGTGGTGCCAGCCATAGCTGGGCTGGCAAGGCCCGCAGCTGTAGGAATGAAGGCATAGGCTGGCAGCAGGTGGCATGAGCCAAGGTCCTGGGGCTGCTGAAGGGTACCCCACGCAAGAACAGCAGTTTTCCCATGCTTGCCTGTCTGGAGACTGGTTCCCAGGAGCTGCTGCCAGTGGCTGCCTCTTGTCCTGCATTCCTAACCTGTGGCATGCACAATGGCAGGTGCCAGCGCCATCTGTGCAGCAGGTCCTCGTGAGCGGCAGGGCAGGAGAGAGGCCCTGGCAATGATGGGGGCGGGGTGGAGGCTTGAGGCACTGCGAGCACAGCCAGCTGTTTGCCTCAGGAGGGTATGCCAAAGCCAGAAAGGAGGCAGGTGAGGGTGGAGACAGCTTCAAGGAGGCTGCCCTAAACACACAGGAGTTCTCAAGGTCAGACTTGGTGTCAACCAAGGACTTGACTTACGGTACTGAAGGCAGAAGGACTTTGTCGCCCCAGCACAACTCTGGGTACAGGATAAGAACACACAAAACCACTTCAAAAAGTCCATGGAGGGCCATGGGCGCCGGTTCTAATCCTGGCAGCCCCACTTCCCATCCAGCTCCCTGCTCGTGGCCTGGGAAAGCAGTCGAGGAAGGCCCAATGCTTTGGGACCCTGCACCTGCGTGGGAGATCTGGAGGAGATTCCTGGCTCCTGGCTCCGGATTGGCACAGCACTGGCCGTTGTGCTCACTTGGGGAGTGAATCATTGGACAGAAGATATTCTTCTCTGTCTCTCCTCTTTGTATATGTCTGACTTTGCAATAAAAATAAATAAAACTTTAAAAATAAAAAAAGTCCATGGGAACTGGAACTCAAAGGTAAGTATTTTGGTTAAAAAAGAATGAAAAAAAGAAAGGAAGGAATAAAACCCATGCTCGTCTTTTCCATCAGATACAGTTTCCATGAATTCTTCAGAATGCCCCAGCTACACAAAGCTTGTGCTGCCTGCCTGGACCTGCAAGAACAGGAATTCCCAGCTAACACTCCAAGAAGCAGGACACTGGCGGTCCAGGCACCCGGAGAGAAGGGAGCAGGCAGCACAGGCTCCACCCAGGAGAAACAGGTGCCCGGTGCTGGAAGCTCGCTAGACCAAGAGGACAGATTCTAGGCTGTGTCTTACTGGAAGAGGTTCTGAAGTGTGTGTGCGCCTGGTGTTTGGGATGGGAGCCGCAGGACTGATGTGTCTGCTGAGAAAGGAGCAGGTGCCCTGGCAGCCACCAGGCACATCAGAGCCAAGCAGATTTTCTCCAAATGGGGGAGTGGTTCTCACCACTTTGCAGACAGGAACAAACAGGTGTCCAACTACACAGGAAATAGCAAGATCTGCTGAGGTTGCTGACCTGGAAGCAGGGTCTTGTGCGGCCCAGGAGAGAATGCAGCTATGTACTATGTCAGGGACGACTGGAGGCAGGCCTGCAGACCACAGCAGTGGTGGCAAACATGGACAGGCAGGGGTGGACTGGCGAAATTCTAGGGACACATTTCCAAACCACAAGTCCAGGACACAGGGTTGGGGCTCCCCCTCTCCTTTGTCAGGGAGCATGAAGAGGAAGATGTCTGCCTCAGGTCAGGCCAGGCAGCAGCAGGCCTCGGAGCCCTACAGCAGCACACACAGCCCCTTGTGGGAGGATGCGTTTGTCCCAGAGGCTGCAGGGGGAGCAGCAGGGATCCCTCAAAGGCTTACGGCATCTGAAGGACAGAGGGTGCATGGAGTGGTGCCAGGAGATGGCAGTGAGAGACTGGAGGGCAGGTTTGCACTCAGCTCTGGGGGATTCTGCACAGAGCAGCAGCTGAGCCCAGCTCACTGCCGAGGGGCCGCCCCAGCAGGCCTGCCGCTCAAGGGCTGGGCAGACAGAGGCCTGTCTCCGTGGCTGCTTTCCCCAGGAGCGAGCAGGTGCAGCCACAGGCTCAGAAAGTGTGCAGTTGCTCCTGAAGCCCTCCCGTTTGAACCTTAGGATCCTGCAGCAGACACCTGGAGTGGGCACAGCCCGCCTCCTGGCAGGCTCACGTCCAAGGGACACCCAGGTCTCCGCTTTCCTCTGGCGAGTGGTCTGTTCTCTGCACAGTGCAGACCAAGGCAACCCATCTTAGTCTCCCCCTGATTTGCAGCTACTGTGTGGGAAGCCGTCCCAGGGAGGCTGCTGCTGCGGGCAGCCGAGGGCAAGCTGATGGGCCACACCTGTTTCTGACTGCCTGACTCCTGGGTCTTGTCTGCATACCTAGACTCAGAACTGCCAAGCTGTGGTGTGGTCGTGGTTGAGGTCTGGTGCATGAGGCCAGCCCCTTGCTCCGTCCCTGAAGCCAGCCTCCTTCCTGCCCACGTGCCCCGGCAGTGACAGCTCCAGCACCCGCGCAGTGAGCACAGAGCTTCCGGCGTTTGTCTTGGCTGGAGTAGGCACTGAGGGAACAGGAGCTCCGTCTGCCTCTCAATAAATAAATAAAATTTAGAAAGAAAGACGACTCATAAATATTTTGCGAACCTCCTGCACCACTTAGAACTCAGCGGCGCTTAAGTGAGCCGATTAAATATAGAACGCAGCTGGAGGTTGAGACGTCCCTCGCGGAGTAGCACTCTGACTTGGGCCTGGCTGCCAGCAGTGCCCCGGGACCTCACTGTGGTGCTTCCTCAATGAGGCGTGCGTCCCTCTGAGAGCCCATGTGAAACTGGGACCCATTAAGACCACGCCACCCAAGCTGGCTTCTTTGGGGTCAGACACCCTCGTGCCCTGCCCCAGGGGCTGGGAGGCAAGGCGGAGCCAAGCTCCACGTGCGCTTGTGCATAATTGAACAGCGTTAATGCATGGGCAGAGTGCACCCTGGCAGCCCCACCCACGAGTGGGCCTGCTTCCCTCTGCACTTCTGTCCGGTTTCTTTGGTTTACCGGAAGGGTGCATGGTTGGCACTCGGTATACCGGTCCCCAAGGAACAATCCTCCACAACAGTTGCTTTAGGGCGTGCTCAGCTCCAGCTTGAAACAATTGCTACTTTAAACAGAAAGAGATGGAAACCTTTGTGCAGCACAGGCCAACAGCAAGTAAAAGTTCAGGCGGGACAGGAGCCAGAAGCTCCTTCTCTAGTCTGGAAATGAAGCGGAAATAGAAACAGGCACCCGGAGAGTTTCCTGGAAAACGAGTTAAAAGATAAGCTACCGTGCAAACAAAACAAAAAAACAAATCCCCCAGTCATGCAAACGAGGGAGGGGTTCGTCATGATATGCAGGGGAAATTAGTGTTATGAGAAAGTACACACAGATTTCCAACTTTTCACACCGTGCCGCTTCCATCTTGCGATTCTATTTTGCACACACTTTCTGAATTAGCCTCATACAGAGGCTCCTGTGTGACCTCCGGGAGCCTGATGAGACCGGGAAACACTGTACAGGCTAATGGAACCACTGATTCACTCTGTGCTTCCCAAGGCAGGGGTTTGGCTCGTGGACACACTCTCGCTGACCAGATCCTTCTGTGTGGGGTGTGGTCAGGGAAGAGGAGGGGCAGGGCCTTGGAGGCAGTGGCCAAGAGTGTGCGTGCGTGTGGACGTGGGCTCCCTTGGGGACTGACAGGGTTGCTGCATCGTGTGGCCGTATGGTTAACACAGCGGCAAAGATGGTGCTGGCAGAGGGGCCATCCAGGGCGCACGGCCCTCCTGCCCCACTCTCACTCCCCTGTGGGCACCTGGGACACACTCTGCACTTCCTGTGCCTGCAATGCCCGGACGATAGATGGCCAGTGAATGGTCAAAGACGCTGACAGAACATGCAAGCACGACATCT